AAGTCATGACAATATGCTTACTCTGTCGAGCATTTTCTGCATTCATGTCGTGTTGAGAGATATTCTGTGAAAAACCGTTTTGAATATTTGGTAGAATAAGTGGTGGAATGGGAGACGTGACGGCATTTCGGGAGACATTTGGTGTGTCCAACGTTAGGATCAGAGGAGTGGACGATCCAGACATTAACACCGGTGCAGACGACTGAAGATTATCACTATTATTATCACTAGTGGTCGTTATATCGATGGTTAGCCCATTAATATAACATGAATATGAATCGCGACTATTAATGGCTGAAGTAGTGGTCGGAGTGCTAATTGAGGATACATTTGATGGCATATGACTGATATGTGGCACACATTCAATGGTATTTTCTGAGAGATTAGACATCAAATAATTATGATTTTGTGAAGACATTTATCACATTTGGTCGATACAAGTATTAGGTTAAACTTTTGGTCATTGGAATAAATAGACAATATTGATTTACTATAAATTATTTATCCAGGTATATATTTATCCAATTACTTATACAGGTATAAAAATATAAAATACTATTTTATTAGCATTGATTAACATTAAACTCTCAAATATCAAGTGAAACACAAAATATGATATATAGAGAGAAATTACTTGACTCTCACTGTAAGACGGTTTGTATGCACAAAGAAACACATTGAAGAACTGGAAGTACTGGAAGTGTTGGAAAACCCAAATAATTAAGTGATTCTTAATATTAATTGCAATTAACAAGGTAGTAGTTTTCGTTATCAATAACTTGCACTCCAGTCATAATCATTTAAGATTTGCATTTATTTCAGTTACAAGTAATTCCCGATTCATATCAAAAAAAGTGAAATAAATTGCAAAAATGATTTAAACAGTAGTTATATAAAGCATTAGTTTAGGGCAACACATATCAAAGTAATTGTTAGTTGTGTTAAAGTTTGTTGGGTTTGGTGTCGAGTGTTGAATGTGTTGTTCAGCTCTTGTATGGTATAGAGAGTGAAATGAAGACAATTGAGATAATGATGTGATGTCTTGTATGTCTTGTGCGACAAAAGAAGCTCTAAATGACGTCATTTGCAGCAAAGATTGTGTATTGAAGTATTGAAGTGTCCCTGAAATTAGCGGAAAATCCAGAACTTTAATACTTTAATGTGTTAATAGTATTGAGAATCTAAATGATGTTCAAATGGATTCTCGTAGTGGTGTATAGAGTGGTGTATAGCCATAGCATACGGAATATCAGTCGATGCCCATGTGGCCAAAACCTCCGGAACAGCAGTCGGTTCTCAACGTATTGAAACTCTTAAAACAAATTTCCGAAACTTACCTTTGATTACTCTCTCAACAACCTCTTTTGGTTTTCAGAGAAAGATCTAAGCATTAGATTAGTTATTATTGTTTGTTTGCTAACAAACGTCAAGCGAAGGTCGTCTTGAAAACTGACTGAAAAACTCAGCATTAATTCAAAAAACTCTTTCAATAGAACGGCCCCTAAATTTACTATAAATTACTTTTAAGTATTATTGCAAACAATTTAAAAGTTTAACGTCTGATTAGATATTAAATACAATTTATTTTCAATTCACTTATTATTATACTTATAACTATACTACCTATATTATACTTATTATTTGTGCCTGTATTGTATGGTATTAATAAAATATAATTTCTCTAAATTGCTAATGGCATTCAACTATTTCAATTTAATTTGTCTAAATTATTAGAAATCTTTATTTTTAGCAATACTGTTGTTAAATATAATAGGTTTACAACATTTCTCGTACTTTTCCTCGTTTTCTATTATTAATTCAAATTCATTTATGGCCTGAATTTTATAGTAATTTTTTCAAATGAAATTTCAATCAAAATTTATTCATAAAAAAATTAAAAAACTTTTTATTTTCTGTCTTCAGGTCATCAAAAAAGTTATTCTCATTTTCACTCTTTGTATGCATTTTAGTAAATATTTTGTTATTTGATATTTATTGTTCAAATGCAATGCCATTCAATTTATATAATGCCGTCACGTCTCCCATTCCACCACTTATTCTACCAAATATTCAAAACGGTTTTTCACAGAATATCTCTCAACACGACATGAATGCAGAAAATGCTCGACAGAGTAAGCATATTGTCATGACTTTTAGATCAATTAAGTCATTGCCAGCTAATTAAGGAAATTTAAAAAATATTATTAATAGGCAGACCTCAACTCAAAATACTAGAACAGCCGACTAATAGAATAAGATATCGGTATAGGAGTGAAAAGGGTTCACACGGGGGGCTGACCGGTGAGAATAGTTCCCAAAATAAGAAAACATATCCAACTGTTAAGGTATTTGTAATAAACATGATTTGGCGACAAAAGATTAATTGAAAGATTGTTTTTGAAACACTTTTTAAGTTAGAAAACTATCACTCGACAGCTCAGGTATACATTAGGGCCAGTCTTTACACTAATGAGGAGCGGCCTAAGAGTCACGTCCATAAACTGATGGGTCGCCACTGCAATGAAGAGGGCCACTGCACTGTCCCCCTCTCGGACAACATGATTGCCACGTGAGACCATGCAGACAATATGTGCTGGATATATGTCAATCCCAATGATCCCTAGTTTCCAGAATTTAGGCATTTTATTCGTCGGCAAAAAGGAAGTGCCGGACATTTTGTACCGCAGAAAGCTGGAGGAGACTCAAGTACTTCACACCTCATTCATCAGTGCCAACCCTTCACTCTTATCAGGTTTATTCATATTAAATACAAGTCCCACACAATCTAACAAAATCTTGTAGACATTGATAAGCAGAGAGTTCGTGAAGAATCGGAAAGGGATGCAAAGGATATGAATCTGAATTCCGTTAAAATATGTTTTGAGGCCTTCGTGTACGAGAATGACATGAGTTATGCCGTTTCAAGTCCTATATTCTCGCGTCCGGTCGCCAATCAAAGTATATAACAATTCATTGATTATATATTTGCTATTTATTGATTTCATGATTAATTTCTCAGAATCTCCCGATTCTGGAGAACTAAAAATTGTAAGAATGGATAAATACTGTGGACCCGCAACAGGTCTGTTCATTAATTATAATTTCAAATTATAAATCATAAATTATACTTTCCTATATTATAAATTTATCTTAATTTATGTCGTAATAATTAATTAATCAAAAAATATTCACCGACAAAGCTTAGATCATTAGAAATATAATCATGATTAATTTACTTTTAAATTTAATAGTTTTCAAAATATCGATTTTAAAAAGTTATTAATAATATCAGTAACTCTTTCCATAAATTTATTAAAATTCTGAATTTATTGACAACTTGAAACTTTAATTAAATTATATTGAATTTGTAATTTTGATACTGAAAGTATTATTAATTTAGGCAATATTATACTGTAATACGAAAGATTGATAAAAAGTTGTAGATTAAAATGATATTTTGGTAATTTATAAATTAATTAGCAATAGGGGTGCACAGTGCTGTAAATAAAATGCAGTAATGTACTGTATATTAAACAATTTATATGATACTTTTTAAATTTATATTTTTATATAACTCCTGACTAAGGCATCGATTTGACAAAAATTACTTGAATTAAATAGAATTTTATTTTGCAATTTATTATTTTAAAATAGTTAATCCCTTTTTAATCCTCAAATTCTATATTTCCAAAACAGTATTGTCTAACAAAAAAGTATTATAAATATAAATCAATATATTATAGGCGATGAAGAGGTGTTCTTATTGTGTGAAAAAGTCAATAAAAAGGAGATTAAAATCAGATTCTTTGAAACCGATAGCGATGGCCATCAACTTTGGGAAAGTTTTGCCAATTTGTATGTATTGACACATCTGTTTGTAATTATCTTAATTATGAATAAAATTTTATGACAATCTATTTTAGTACTGAGGCTGACGTACATCACCAGGTATTGTATGATATTTCATAACATGATAGCAGTTATTAACAGAATGAGTGTTTAGGTGGCGATTGTGTTTCGGACGCCTCCTTACAGGGACCAGAATATCAAGAGCTCAGTGCAGGTGTACGTCCAGCTGTTCCGACCCCGTGATGGTGAGTACAGCGAGGGCCGACCCTTCACTTATAAGCCCAAAGAGCACGACTTGGATGGCGTCGAGAAGAAGAGGAGGAAAATAAGTCACTATAACTCCGGTGTCGAAGATATCAGTAATAATAGCAATAATGGCGGCAATTCTGGGTTCGTTGGCAACCATTCCTTCACCAGTTTGGCCGACAGTTCCCATACAACTCAGAGTTCCCGCGATAGTAACAACAATAATATAGGATATTATGGTATTTATTATATTCATTAGAAATTGTTTTTAATTTTTACTGTATTTAAAGTGCACTCAAGATTTTTTGAAGATAATTATAGTTGAGTGATCAGGGTCTTTTCGAACTAATCAATTCAAAGCTATAGTGATAAATATGTTAATTGCAATCCTCAGGGCATTCCAGTTGTTCACATGACTCTACCAAACGTGAAAACTGTCTGCAAATCAAATCCAATCATTTAAACCGCAATTACGGACCAAATCGGAGGAAAGCAAATCTCATCGAGAATTCAATTACTTTATTCGTAAACTAAACTCAAGTTAGGAAAAAATTGCACTATTTTTGCTCAAAAAATCAAATTTATACTATATATCAAACTTTTGAATTTCAAAATATTTTTACTTAATTTTTATTTATTTCAAAAACTAAATTAAAAATATGTTAAACATTTAAATTAGTAATTGAAAGCAATATTTGACAAATTAATTTGATTTTAATGATCTGTACTAGTTATTATTATAATATACTCTATAATTACATTTATGTTATAACTTATAAGCGAAACAACGATTTCAATATTAATAATAATTAGTGAATACAATTAAACCTCTTATAAACCATCAAAGTTTAAAATAGATATTTTGTGATCAAACTCAATGTCTTTTGCTCAACAGTTGAATGAATTATAAACATAAACATCACTATTAATAATACATTGAATTCTTTGTCAAAATACATGATTTTTGTGAATATATTATTAATTTAAAATATATTTTTATCAAGAATTGGCGATACCTTCAGTATTGTTCATTGCTTTTTATATAATACATAAGTACACAGTATTTATATTGATATTTGTATTAATCAAAACATAAATTTATATCAATAAAAATAAAGCCATCAATTGCTTCACGTATTAGTAATTCTGTAATTACTGTATAAGTCATTGTAAATATATATAGTTTTGATATAACGACAAATAAACATATATAATAACTCAAGTAAATTCAAATTATATACAAAAAAGTGATTTCATGAGATTTGTGAAACATTTAGAAAATCGTTACAATTATAATACAATTCATATCATTCTCATCCAAAAATAACTCTGTGTTTGATATTCAAACTCTTTTATCATTCATTTCCTTATGAATCGGAGAATTCATTGTAAAAATGAATCATTTATTCATACCATTTGTGAAATCATAATTTCAAAATAAAGTTTTATACAATGATATATTTTTTAGCTTGTACCGTAATTACTCACAATGTCAGTACATTATACACATGCCATTCTCAATAACTTAGAAAAGTATGAATAAATATTACCGGTATATTATGATAACTTAGTTAATGAATACTTTTCTTATGTGTTTTGAGTATAACCTATCATAGGGTGAGGAAATAAATTAAGATCAGATTCTATAACATAGCTTACATTAGTGTACAATATTATGGTTGATACAGTTACATAACATACCGCACTAATAGCTGTACGGTAATACTGTCTGTTAGAATAGAAACGACACCACAATTTGAATAAAGTGAGCAAAAGTTGTTGCTTTCAATGTTATGTATTTGTAAATTACAAGACAATGATTTGCGATTCATGTTTAGATACCAGAGCTTCCAATAAACGGAGTTTTCCTTTCGTGTGCTATAATTGTAAAACAAATTATAAATCAAATGAATAACAAAACAATTGGTATTAATATATAGCATAAGATGCAAACCTTATAATTGGAATAAACGGATCCCATATTCACTTTGTCCTCCTTTTCCACTTTTCGTCCCATTATTTTGAAGAATTCATTTTCAAAATCTCTTAAAACAGTTCTCAAATTCTTCTTCTGAACGCGTGTTTCG